AAGGATCAGGACGAGCTCAATAGCATCATGTTCTCCAAGACTTGGGCTTCGTTTGTTGACATCGCCGATGCTCTTAAGAAGTACAAAGCGAGGTTCATCATTACATGGCCCAGGGACAGCGTGTTCTGGGGATGGCAGCGTGTCAAGAGGGTACTTGATGGCTATGGTTTTAGCAAAACTCACCTTAAGCCGATGATTGCAGCTGCTGACTTTAAGCCTGAAGTCATTGCCCACTACACGCTAGCCTCCAACACGAAGAGTCTTGTTGAATTCTTGAGACGAGGATTGAAGGATAGTGCCAAGAAATCAGAGTCCCAACACTACTTCAAAGGCACCCTTACTACGATTCTCAGTCGTGTTTTTGATGATCATGAACCGAAGAAATCAGAGAGAAATCAGACTCACGTTGTAGCTGTTGCGCTCAAGATTCAAGCATCCCCAACGTCCTCTCTTTCGCTTCTTCCCATTGCGAACATGTCCTCTGCCCAGAGCACTCGTGACGCTCTTGCACAGGGAATCGCAGCCCGGGAGGGTATGCCGACTGATGAGGGGTTGCAATATGCAACGGCAGATCGTGAGGAACGCATTCAGGCGTATCGTGCCGCACTCAAGAGTGCCGATCGCCTGGCTGACGCCATGGCCGGAGTCACCCACCTTGCTCGGCACACCGACCTTGCTGAGGTGTTTGATGAACCCGGGGCTGACGCCGACGGTGATGAGATGTTCCTTGGAATTATGACGGTGAAGGAATGGCGCGACATGCGTGTGCATGCGCCTAATGCACCCTGGACCGCATTGTACGAGGCCTGGTTCCGTCACTATGCTTGCCGCCAGGGCAACCTGTACATGCAGGACCAACGCAACACCTCCCTGACGGGATGGTCAGCCCTCATCCTTCAGCACATTAAGGATTTGGGTATCCTCGGGTGGGGTGTCAACTTCGAGAATGCCATCAATAAAACGGCAATGTATGACATTTGCCATAGGGTCCACATTCTGTCAGAGGGTAGCGGTGCCTTCCCACTGTTTCCTGCGAGCTCAGCTCTCTTGGACGGGCTCTACAGCCCAGCCTTGGGCAGGATTTCCGCGCCCCCCACGGCGGAAGCCGGTGGTTTCGACGGCACCGACATTCTTGTGGCCGGGGACTCATCCTTGGCATTGTGCTGGATGCAAGGAAAACGGTGTGTGAAGAAAACCACTATCTTCCCGATGATGCAGGACATAGTCCGCGCGAACCCAGAGTTCGGGGAAGTCACATGCTTGATGGAGTGGGGCAAAGGTCTCGACAAGATCGTTGATGTGATCGAGACCCACCTTGCCTCCGCTCCCCCGGAAGGGGTAGAGCTTGTGGTTTCATGGGCCGGCAACGATGTGTACGGTAACTACGGTTACCTTGGCTACACTTGGCGCTTGACGAGCCAGTGGGTCAAAAGGCCGCAGCGCGAGCTGGACGAGATCGAGCATTGGCCCGCAAAGCAGCGGCTGATGGTCGAGAAGAGCGTCCGCCGCCTTATCGAGCTGCGGAAGCACACTCGTGTCAGAGGCCTGACGGTTCTCTTGGGAGATGACAACGGCCGCTTTTACACTGGCCACTGCTACTTTTGTTTCCAGGATCGTTTTTACCTGGTCCCCGAGATCGCAGTGTTGATCCGAGCCACCCAGATTGCCTCTGAGGTACGCCGTGTGCGTCCTTTCAGCATCCTCCGCCATGACGGCGTCGAGTACCAGACCGTGACCGGTACTGTTCCTGAGATCATGGCTGACCTAGTCGGCATGCTCCGCAACAACGCACAGTATGCTCTCACCCAGAAAGAACGCAATCAGCAAAGGGTGACTGTGCAGGTCGGAATCGGACAGACTCCATTGCAAATCCCAGCATCCCTGGGGACAATGGGCAGGTCTTGGCGGTACGCGGTTCAGTGTTGAGCGTACCCGCGGCTGGATCAATCGCGAGGTGGAAGACCGAATGGTCCGACATGGTGCCACTCCCATTGGCGCCATGCGTGTGCCACCTCCACCGCCGTCACCATCCGGAAGGACTGGTCCTGACTCGTCGCTGCCCGCAGCAACACCCAGTGTTCGGCCCCCACCGGCTCCTCCGAGCCGAGGTCGCTCACCTGGCGGTGCAGCTTCGTCATCCACGGATCGTCCAGCAAGCACTTCTGTTCCAAAAGCTGCAAAGACGAAGGCAAGGCCGGCATCTGCCCGAAGCATCACGCCGCCTCCTCCTAAGCCCAGTGCTAATAGGCCAGTGCAGCCGCCGCACCCACCTGCTGCAAAAGCTGTTCCGAAGGCTGACGCCATTCGTGCGCCTGAGGAATACATCACTGCTGATGAGTGGGACAGCTATTTTGCCGGTCGTGGCGAGGTTAGAGGTTTTGCTGTAGGTGATGCACCTGCACCAATTGCCGCCCCTGCGGGGTCATCCACTGATGAACCATCTGCCTCAGCCGCCGGAGGGCGTGCTCGCACTCGCTCACCGCGCCGCCATGACTATGGTGGTGGTCGAGACTTTCAAGAGGCCGCGAACGACAGGTTGCGTCACCTGCGCCTGTGTGATGAGGCGATTGAGCAGCAACTCGAGAACCTGACGGTCACTCTCCCAGGCTTCCCAGCTGATCGCCTAAGGGAATGGATTGATCAAGACGGGAACGGATTCGATCCTTCCCGACCAATGCCTCGCAATAGCACTCGCACAGACGCTTGGTATTGGGGAGTCCTTCGTGCCCGTTACCTTGAGGAGCTATCGCCCACTGATGTGCCTTTTGTCATTCCCGCTTACACCGACCGGGAGGTTCTGGTTCAACATCCTGTTGAGCAAATCGCCTGGTTCCTGCGCGGATGGGAGGAGTATCGCCAGGACTCCAATGGAGCATGGTACAGGGCATACTAGCCTATTGCATCCGACACCGGAAGGTGCTCCGCGTCTTGAGGGCACCGTGTCAGAAGATGCACGAGTCGCGCGCAACAGCGACTTGCATTTTGATCCGTTTTTCTGCAGCTCACCGCATTGACGTGCCGGTTCATCCATCCAAAGCCTTTTGCATCGGCATGCCCATGCATCACCGCCCTGACGGGTTGGTTTGCTGACCTGCTCAGTGGAGTGATTTGAGCTAGCATCTCAGTTTCTTTTGGAAGCCTCGCAAAGCGAGTGCTGCCTGTGTGTAGCGTAGATTAGTGATACGCCTCCTCCGCTGCGCTTCAATGCGCGGGGGGTGTTTTTATCCTGTTCATACGTTTGTCCTACAGTCTTACCTACGCTACCGTATGGCTCAAGTGTGAAAACAGTCCGTGCTTTCTGCTGTTAACAATAAATCCATCCACGCAGCCAAGGAGCAATCCTTAGAATGGACAGCCATGCCGATGCTCAAATCTCAAATCCATCCGCAGAGCCAAACGGCAACCCGATCAGGCATCCCTACACCCCAAGAGTGCGTCTGCGCAAGAAATTCAAAAGGCTTGAGAATGGGCCCAAGCCATCGAAACTTATCCGATTCTTTGGTAGGCTTTTGATATGCCGTCTGCTCCTTCGCCATATCCGGAGAACTGCATCCCAAGCATACTTCCAAACCGCACACCCTACGGTGACGCTTTTTAAATATGTGGAGGGCGGCCCAGGCCCAAGGATGACAGAGGTAGTGTAAATGACCTGTTTACTTCCGGAAGTTTAAATATCCACTGCCCTCCAGCCCTCCAGTCCCAGATCCTCCAGCCTCCAAGCCTTCCCGCCTTCCAACCCTCCAGCTTCCAGCCCTCCAGCCCTCCAGCTGTCCAGCCATTCAATTCAAACTGGAGGGCTGGAGGGTTTGAAGGCTGGAGGGCTGCAAGCTGGGAGGAGGGCTGGAAGGCCGGAAGCCGGAGGGTTGGAAGGCTGGAGAAGGCTGCAAGTCTGGAGCACACCGGAAGGCTGGAGGGCTGGAAGGGGAGCATTGGAAAGCTGGAGGGCGAAGGATGCAAAGCAGGTGGTGGGGCCAAAGCAAAACTTCCGGATGTTTTAAAGTTGGGTGGCCAAAAGCCACTGCTGTTAGACCTAGTGCAAATGATCTGTTTACGCTGTTTAAATGTCCGGGTGTTTAAAAATCGGCGAGGTAAGCTCTCAGAGCCTTAAATCCAAGAACCCAAACACACTACTGATCTTCTGGAAACGCAGATTCGCAATCCCTCCGCTGAAGAGCTTCTTTCCATAATGGAAACGAAGACCTTCGCCTTGGAATATGATGTCACGCCGAAGGGTCTATGCAGGATATACAGCTTGATAGTCAAGTCGATTGGCGAGACTTGGCACCGGTGCCAGAGGATGCATCTCGGGCCAAGCCACCGGGATCTACCGTCGCACCAAGGGTCATGATCACATGGACTGCGAGCGTGTCTGTGGTTTGGTCTGATGATTGAGTCACATCTGCCGAGAGTATGCGCAATGTTCGCTCAGTATCTCAAGAAGGTGGTGAGTGATCGCGGGGTGTTTTCTTCTTTGTGAATATTTTTTTCGCGAACAATGTGAAGCAAAACTAGACTGTTTTTGTTTGTTTCAGTTTCGGGTGTTTTCTTTTGGAACCTGTTAAGTTTCGTGCATTTCCCGTGCTCGGTGACCTCACTTTACAGCATTTTTCGCCAACATTTGCATGACGCGTTGGAACCCAGATGCATCCAGATGCCATGCCACCCCACCCAACCCCCTCGCCAGCTACCTCGGGTTGAGGGTTTGATGGTAGAGGGTCTGGGGTTTTAGGGTTTAGGGTTTCCGGGTTTGGAATCTTAGGGTGTCAGGCGTCGGGACTTATTCAAAGCCGTGTTCCAATCCCCAAGAAAGAAATCCCCAGCTAGGGACGACAAATAATTGAAACCTTTGCGATAAAAGCGCCGACATCCTGACAGTGCTGTCAAAAACATGACCAATATTTGAGGGGATGTCAATGTGAAAATGGTAAAGAAATTCAGATGCCGAAGCTTCGGCGGATAATTCATTGCAGCTCTGTCTCTCAATTGCTCACAGCGCTCAGGATGGAAGCCCAGTTCATCTCCACTTCTGGGATGAGATAGATTGGTCTGCTGTGGACGGTCTCGAGGGAAGATCTGTCGTGCTGACAGACCATAACAAAATGACTTCGCCAATGGCCAGCCACTTTGATGGGCGTGTAGAGTGGGCCGGGATCTTACCTGCCGATGTGATTGTAGTTCATGGTTCCGGTTGTGCATCTTTCTGGCTTCATGAATGCTGGGAGTGCCAGTCGAAGCTCAGGTGCTTGACCATCACGCTGGTGGTATCCAGTATCCTGATGCTCGCAATGACATCGACGAGGGGTTGGGATCGTGCTGTTCGCTTGTCGTTGCCTTAGTGTCGAGCAGGAAAGGGCAGCGCAAGTGCCGTCGGCTCGCTGCAAGGTGACGGAGCAGCTTCTTCAGAGGCCCACCGAAGGGCAAGAAATAGAAGTTTCCAGGCCCTTGGCTGCGTCACAGATGCGACAGGAGCTCTGCGAAGTCCAGGGAACTGGTCACTTTGCTAGCGGGAGTCATCCTGCTGGATTGTCGAAACTTCGACGAGAAAGAAAAGAAAGGATCCTTGCCGGCAGTGGGTTCACAGACAGTGCTATCTTGCAAAGTGCAGCAGTGCAGCATGGCGGCTCCGGCGTTCTGATTCCAGGTACAGACAGGGATCGAGCGGCTTTGGAGCAGCTCCAGGGCTTGGTTCCGATGAAGGGGACCAAAGCTTGGTGTGCTGCTCAAGGACCTGTTCTTTAGTGCTCGCTTGCCAGTTGTTACACTACCAAGGTACAAGGAGCTCATGCACGCAAGGAAAGACGTGTCGCATTTGTCGGTACGGGACCTGATGTTGCTAGATACAAAGGTTGTATGCTTGCGAGGGCTAAATGCCGCTTGGAAGCACATAGTTGGCTTCCCGGTCACACGGTTCAGCCGTGGTAGGTTCCTGACTTTGCCAGTCTCTGATGGTTACAGAGGTTGCCTTTGCGAGCATCTTCGGCACGGTTCAAGAAATTTCTGCCAAAGCGGGCGAAACATCTTCCGTTGTGGAAGCTGCCCGGCTCTTGGCAAGAGACCGCGGCTACCAGGCCTGCTTCTGCTCTAGGACTACTTGGGCTCACCAGCAGATTGTGTGTCTTGCACCAGGCTGTGGTTCTGCTTTTCAGCAAGGTGCGGAAGTCTTGAAGCCGTGCCGTTTCTTCGTGTTCCTCCTATGCTTTCACGGGCCGAGGACAAGACAAACGGCAAAAAGGCACTGGCCTTCGTTCCTCTCGAAAATCCCGAAGCACAGGAACTCTGCAAAGTCATTGCTTCTTGACAAGAACTTGCAGCTTGAGACGGAGCGACGGATGGAGACGGGGCCGTGACTATGCGAATCGAGGTGACGCGAATGATGGAAAGTCCAGGCCTGGGCCTGGCCTGACTCCTGACCTCACTGAGCAGCGGCACAGTCATCTCTGTTTGGAGGTGAGCTGCCAGAGGATCTGCGCAAGAATCCTCTTTACGAGACTCAGGGGCTTCTCGAGACCGGTTTCCAGCTGGAGCTTCTGAAGGTTCCGAAGAACTCTGGCAGTGAAATGGCAGAGCACAGACTGGTCCCAGGAGATGAGCCCTTTGCACGTTTACCACATCAAGGGCGAGGTCTCCAGAAAAACCGCTGCTCAGCAACAAAAACATTCTTGCCGTCATCAAGTCTTAAGTGTCCTTCCGCATGTCCACGGGTCGACAACTACAGCAGCTCGCTGAGGGATCTTTTCCTGCCCGGGGCTGGCTGATAAAAGTATTAATGCAACCCGTGGCTACCAGCATTTCACATGCCTCCCCGTCCCATGGGGGCTTTTAAAGATTAGAAGAAGGTTTAGACCAACTGCACACTTTGCATATTCATGAGTTGGGAAAGATGTCCGGAAAAGGTAAGCAAAGCAATGTCACGAAAGCGCGAACGTGTCGTCAAAGTACAAGCGCAGACAATCGTAAGAAATTGGAACAGGAATGGAATTGTGATAAACGTTTGGTGTGTGCGAAAGTGAGGGTCCAGGCCAGCGACTGCACTCGCCATTTGCTCGCCTAGGTGCTGCCGATGGCGACCTACGCTGCACTCTGAGTGCCTTAGTTTTCCACGTCTCGTCAGTCCAGATTTAGTAGTTCTTCCGAGCTGGAAGATCTCATGCGAGCAGGAGTGCTCTTGCACCCTGTGACGGTGTGTAGTTAGCTCCATGGCCCAAAGTGGCCGTGTCGCCTGGTGTTCGCGCTCATTGGTGAATGCAAATGGATCTTTCTGCTGCCACATCGTGCACTAGCTGCATGCCGAAGAATGCACATATGAGGATGCACCAAAAGTTGATGTTTACGAGGTTCGCGACTATTGCTTCCATTTCGGCGACAAGTGCAGTATCAGGAAGTGCCATGCTTGGACGGAGCAAGGATGCGAGCTTTCCTGACTGTGCGGCCAGATTTGTAAGGTCACCTGAATCCAGCGGTGTCTTTGGCATTTGGCTTGCTAGGTGCTTAGGGACCTAGTCGTGGCAGAATGCCTTTGACTGCAGTTCTCAGGTCCAGGAAGATGTATTGGGGCCGTGTCTGGACGTACGTTTTCCTGCAGGCAAGGCTTTTTCGATTGCACTCAACGCTGAAGCAGAATGACTCTTGGAAACAGATCTAGCCTCAAACGAAATGAAAGCCCCCAGTAAGTCTTCAACCGCGAAGAACCCGCAATCACGGCTGTTTTAATTCCGACATGGCTAGAACAACTAAGCAGCATCAGCGACGACTAGCAGAGCAGGCACTTGTTGTGTAGCGCAGATTAGCACAGCACACTTGTGTGCACAGCCGCTGCAGGGAAGCTGAAGACCTTGGTCAAGCTATGGTTTTTCCACTCCTTGTTGTTTCGCGGACAAGGGCGGTGGTAAGTTTCAACTCTCCACTACTTCGCCGCAGCATTGCAGCCCGACGTTGTTTGGGCTTTTGCTGCCAGCCTTCCATCCCGGCGACAGCTCCAGCGCTGGCAGGTCGGGGATCCGCCGCGGTGACATCCATGCTCTGCCCAGCGAGCAGCCGAGCTCACCTGCACCTTCATATTGTGCCTTTTCAAAGGCTCCTCAGCATCTCCACATGCGTTGCGCTGCTTATTTGGGTGCGAACGGCGTGAATTCTGTGAACCATCGCCGTTCGGCATGCCCTGGCCTGTCTGCATGCTAGAGCCAATCTCTTTTCCATCGGCCTGAGAACAGATCCGGCGACTCCTCAATTTTAACGCTACGCCGCCCGCCTCGGCTCTTTAGCGGCAGGGCGAGGGGGCAGTGGATGTCGTATACACCATGCTAGGGGGCCTCTCAACCCTTTGAACGGTTGATTGTTCTGCAGGAAGCGCCATCTTGTGGGGGGGGGAGGCGAGGAGGGGAGGGGGGGAGGGGTGGAGGGGAGGGAGGGGCGGAAGGGGCTTCCACCCACCATGCCACCACAAGGCCAAGTGCATCTCGATCATCTCAACCACACCGGCCTGTTCCTGATGCACGACCTGTTGGAGATCTTGGAAAGGATGTTGCAGCTGCACCGCCAGACCAATCTTTGCATGCTGTTCGGCTTTGGCGAGATGATCTCGAGACAAACCAGAATGCGGGCAACGATCTCAACCCGGGAAACAAGGCGGTGGCTTCGTCGGACTGGAATGCGTTATGGCAGTGCCCTCGCGACGTGCACAGATGTGCACGAGGTGGATTGCGGTCGCGAGGCTTGGTCGCCAAAGAGGATCCAGGAAGTCCGCTCATGTCCGAGACGCGCCAGACGGCAAGTTGGGTCGCCGTGCGGCTAGTCTCCCACCAGCTTTGCTGATAGCCGCCGTCGACTTGTGGTGCAGCCGCTTGTGGGCGCGGCTGTTTTAGAGGAGGCGCTGCCGCCACGTGCTTGACCACGGCTTCGCCCTTTGCCAGGATACCCTCCGCCTGCCTTGGCACCATGACCACTGCCCATTGAGCAAAAGCGCCTGGTGCCACGCCGTCACGTCTTTCATCATCTCCGTGCTTGGTGGCTTGGGCTAGAATGATCGTGGGATATCGGCCCTGAACCCGGCCTGGCGCCCTCGGCGACGGCGACCACTATATCACTATAGTCACTATAGGTCGAGAGAGACAACTTCCCTCGTGCTCGGCGAGAAGGCTGGCTTCGGCAAGGCGCCGGTGGGCATCGAGCACACGACCGCCGCCGCGTCGGCGGATGACTTCTTACTTGATTGCTCACGCAAACATTTCACTTCTGAGCCGGCGCTTGGTGGGAAGTTGGCGCACACGGCGCGTGCAGAATGTCACCCGCCTCCAGTTCGTCATTCTTTCCTTTTTGCCGAACTGTGCGATACGAGCTGATCCAAACGACGAAGCGCCGTTTTGGATCAACGTCGGATCAAATGCTGCATCTGGTTCTGTATTGCTGCATCCATCTATCTGGAGATCTTTCTATCTCTTTATTATCCATTTCTCTATCCATGTACAGTATCCATCTGTCTACTTCTTTATCTACGTATATATTTCTGTATTTGTCCATCTGTTTATTTATTTATTTATGTATGTATGTATGTACGTATGTATGTATGTAGTTAGGCGAGTACGTAGTCAGTGTTTGTCTATGTGTATACATGTACATCTACATCTACACATATACATAAATACGAACACATTACATATACATACACATATGCATATATGCAGATACATATACACATGTACACATGCACACATATGCACATATACACGCGAAATATTTTCTATATACACACATGTACAGATACACATATGCAGATATACAGATACGGATGTACATATACAAGTTTACATATACAGATATACATACACAGATACACATATACAGATATACCTTTACAATTTATCATGTGCATGCACATGTTTATGCATGCGCGTATATAGAGAGACCGTAGGTCGCGCCTAATGCATTGTAATAAATTCAAAGAACAAGTGGTGCAGAAATCTACAGACGTAGTATGCGCTCACCAAGCAGGGGTGGGATGTAACCAGCAGTTGGGAAAGCTGTCCCAGCCCTTCAACAAAATGAATTCAAGACTTTGGACACCGCATGCGAGTTGTAAAGGATGCGTGGTATTCCATACTTGGCAATCCAAGTAACGATCCTGATTTCGGACCGAAGAAGCGGGATCTTCCTCACGGGTATCAGATGAGGCTATCCCCGCAAAGTAACCATATACCCAGGATGTCAAAACACCTTGATTGAGGTGATATCGGGACATCGGAGCAACTGCGATAAATCAACGGCAGTGCTACTTAGTGACACTTGCATCACTCACTTTCTCAGAACTGCTAAGTCAGGAAATCGGAGGCACCGCCACGGATCGAAGACCAGTCGTCAGTGCATAACCCCTCGGTAAGACTTGCCGCAATTGCCAGCTTTCCAATGGAAGCCAGCCGCACGCCTCCAGGCCCGTAGACGAATCACGACGGGCGAAGGCTTGGCAGCTTGTGACTTAAGGCCAGCCGCAAACTCGTTTAACTTGTAGTGTGCGAGCGTGCCCTCCAAACTAATGGTCACCCTGGACAGTGTGTCCTTCGCCTTCGTGTCCATGAGCGCCATCATTTCAAACGAGTTGCAGCGGTTGCCGGCTTCAAGTTTGATGAAACAGATGCCTTCGCCTGGCGAGCCTCTGTTCTGCATGGTGACGCATTGCTGCAAGGCAAGCGTCTCCGTGAAGGCAGCCTCAAACTCCTCTACCGTGTAGTTGCGAGAGAGTCCTCCAAACCAATGTTTAGCGTGGCCCTCTTGAGCAAAGTGTCCTTCGCCCCATGCGCACCATCGCGCGGTTGCCAGCTTTCAGGTTGAGGATCCACATGCCTTTGCATGAGGAGCCACAGTTCGGTTTGACGATGCGCGGCTGGAAAAGTCTTGTTGAAGCCAGCCGCGGACTCATCAACCATGAGTGGGTCCTCCGAACCAGTATTCAGCTTGGCCCCCTTGCGCTGCGTGTCCTTCGCATCTATGACTCCATCACGTCGGGTGGGGTGCGGTAGTTGCCAGCTTTCCGGTTGATCATCTAGCAGGCTCATGACATACCGCCTTCCACTTCGCGGCCATGGCATGCGGTACTGGGGCTACCGAGATTCCCTAGTGGGTGACTCGAGCCCTCGTGTATATATATATATATATATATATATATATTTCTATATATATATATACACACACACACTGCAGATGTGCCGGTTGCAAAAGGGCAGTATGCAAGCTGGATCAGTGGACACAGTTACCTTGGCGTCAGATGCCACGCAAAAGCATCCTCCCCGTCCTACATGGGCATAAACTGGCATAAACAAACAGACCTCCAATGTTTCGGCCTGGTGACATACGATCTGTCGTGACATTGTTGTAATTGCTTAATTAGTCTTGACTGCGCGGCAGATCACGGCTGGCGTGGCGGCCTGTGGTGCGGTGCGAGTGATCATGCAGAAGGAGCTCCCGGAAATCGAGCCAAAGGCAGCTGTCTGATGGGCTGCCCGTCGTCCTAGCCGAATGCATCATCTGCATCATCTGTCAGATTTCTGTGGAAGCACCAACCCCCCTTCTTCCATCTTGTGGTCCGCTTGTTGCAGTCCGATTACAACCTCGCCGATGCTGGCCTCGTTGAGGCGCAGCCTCAATGTGTTGCGACTTCTTTCAACGGCCATAACAACTCACTATTCACATATCAGGCAACTACTCCCATCAATACGCGGCTTATAAGTCTACAATTGCCGAGGGCATCTACAGTGCCATGTACTGCCTGGTCGCTCTCAACTGCATCGCATCTCTGGAGAACAACCCCAGAGGTTTCAGGACATTCGTGCAACCAGGTCGAAGCTTTTTCAGGCGAAGCCAAGAATCATTCGAAGTACTGGAGGAATCAGTCCTTTGCCGTTGCAATTGGCTTGGTCCTGATTGCTGGCCGGTGACCTGGGGAACCTCGTAGCATGATGTGACATCATCTTCAGTCGACTCAGGTGGCCCTCCTTGCAGTGAGGTATCGGGAGGGCACCACTCGGCGAGTTTCTGATGCAATTCACCGCTTCTCTCCTGGCGATCCACGATGACAGGCTCCTGAATCCGGCCATTACGGTTGGCTTTTGCATCTTCGGAGGCCAAGGCCAGAGATTTTTCCGGCCATGTGCACAGCAGTACTCAGCAGCCCAACCCCGAATCAGCAAACAACAGGCCATCATGCCGTTCGCACTTTGATTCTGGCCGCCGCGCAGGCCGGGATTTTGTGCAGCATCAGATTTGTTTTCCCGCAAGCGATTTCTCCTGGCACCATTTCGACATGCATGAGAGCCTGACTTGGCGCTCCACACAGCCTGCCCTGACAGCGGCAGTATGCTCAGACAAGGCGTCGAAGTCAGGAGGAAGCATGTGGGAAGCAAAGGACAGGGAAACGCAGAGGCTGGGTGGAGAACGGGTAACAACACTAGCGGAAACCATCGGTGATTTTCTGGGTGCAAGGCTGAAACTCGTGAATCGTTTGGCGACTTTCCAAAGAAAGAATCGAAGCTAAGAGAGACGGAGAGCCGTCACCTGGTTTCTCATATCGCCTGCTTCGCCTTTCCGGGACGGACTAACAGAAAGGAGTTTAGCTTGTTGACAATTATCCTGTCCACCCTTGCGGTTGGCAAGTTGCTGCCCGCATTTCGTAATCCAAACCACCACCGATGTTGAGAACACTTCTTGCAAACCATTTGCCAGGGACAACGTAAGCAAGGCTTGCGCTAGAGTAAACTCCCTTGCTTGTTCCCTCTGCCAATCGGGTCACCAGAGTCACCAGTTTCAGCCTCGGTCCCGGAAACCAACGCCGATTTCCGATTCTGCATCCTGCCGTCCGTGTTGCTCCACTCGTGCTTGTATGTATATGTCTCCGCATCTTGGTTGCTGACGTTTCCGTGAGGTCAGTGTGGTCCGTGTCGTACATGGTTTGATCTCCGGAATGCGCGATGTACATCGCACGAAGAATTCGCCAATGGCAGTTTGACCCCTGAGGCTGCCGGTGCGGTGGGAGCCGCAGTTCTTTTCTTCTTGGTCAGACCAGAGGAAGCCATTTTGTCTCCGTGGCGGTGTGAAGTTTCTTCTGGCATAGGCTGGAAATGCATGGCCTCGGCCATTGCTCTCGTCAGGAGCTGGCAGCCCTTGGCATTAACGTTGGCGAAGGTGGACGATTGCAAATCCGAACTGTGAGCTCCTGACATGGAACGTGCTTGAAGGACTAAGTTGCCATCGAATCTGCAGCGGGCCACCCAGCATCCCAGCACGCGGCTCGCACGAGGGCAAGGCCTGCGTCGCATCTGCTAGGTGCCATTGGAGCCTTGAACTTCTGCAGCCGCCGGCGCAGTCAAGCAGACGAGGAAGACGACTGCGAGCGAGATGATGCGAGGCGGCTACGGTACCCCGAATTGTGTTCAGAAGGATAGCCACTCCGAAGACGAGGGCGATGTCCGAAGCCTTGATACTATTTCGCTTTTCCTTTCTTTTTGAGATCCAGTCCGACCGAGGTGCACACTCGGCCTGCCCAAAAGGCTCGCTCTCCTTGGTGCTGAGCTCGGTGTTTGGCCACGACAGCTCCGGAGCAGCGCCGCTTGATGCTACCCACTTGGAGGGCGGCCAGAATAATCAGTGAACTCGTTGGTACATACTTGGTCGCGGGAAGCTGAGCCATGGTGCTCTTAACATCACAGACTGTAGACTCCGTGGTTTGCCCTTGAGGTGCTCACCTTCGGTCTTTGTGCAGCTCGGTGCTCAGGGATAGGATCCGATAGGCGCCTAGGCCTAGGCCTTGGCCTAGGAGGCCTTTTTAAGCGACTCTTCGAAGCTCTTCGCAGGTGGCCACAAACCGAGCACAAGCCGAGACCAGTGGTAAGGCATCTGGAACAACACCGAAGGGGTCTAAGCAGTAAGCAGTCTAACCGAGTCTAACCTGTTCCGACACTGGGAGTTGAAAGCAAAGCATGGCGAAGCTACCGTCCCCCTCCCCCCCGGAGGCGATGCTGCAATCGATGGTGCCGAGACCAAACACCACCGCTACCGCAAGCGACACAGCACAGGACTGGCATACGCAGCACTTCCAAATTAAATGAATCAGTGGCTTTAAAAGCCCCGCAGTGCCCGAGAAGCCTCCTGACTTTCTAGAGATGGGGGTCACGCCTTCAAGCCCGTAGAAGAAGCCAGAGCGCTCGGCTATGGTCCAACGGTAGGCTTGGAGCAAGCATAGGCTAACCCCACACCTCACATCCTATACCCCCCCCTATGCTTTTACCTCAATTCTCAACCCGCCTAACATTTCAACCCTTTAATCCCTGAAAACACAAAGCACCTCCCAAAACCAATGCAACAATCCCGAAAACAAAGCAACCTACCAAACAAATACAATTAAACAAACCCTACCCTCAACCATTCTACACCAATTATCCTAACATGAGGTGTGGGGTAAGACCCTAATAGAAAAATCCCAAAAGCCCATAACCCTTATCCTATATAATTTTACTAAATTTAAATAGTAAAATGCTATTTACGCTTATCCGTTCATTATTGTATAAAGTTTTGCAATTGCCTTTGGCACTATGTTTTCTTTGTTTCTCTTCTCTTCTCGTCTCATAATATCCACTGTTCTTCCGTCTATAATTTCAACAATTAGTTTTCCATTTCTCACATGAGTCGTCATCACGCAGTTTTCAATATATGGTATATTGTCTGTTAGTGTATTCATAACTTCTTCCTTTATCAAGTTTAGGTCATTATTAATTTCAATCATTTCCTGTTTGTTTGTATATCCAGATGCTTCTGCCATTATTATATATGTCATCAATTCTTTAAATGTTTTTTGTAAAATATGGTTTTTGTATAATACAATATCTAATATGCTCTCTCTTGGTTGTCAAACTTAATCTCATAGTATTCTAATGTCTCCTTCTTTGGAAACTCAATATCTTTGTTGTTGAGTTTCTTAACATATACACTCCTTTTATTCTTATATATCTCACTATCTTTATCCATTGGTCTTTTTAACTGGTCTAGGCATCTCTTCATTAAGTTTATTTACTGCTTTTCAATTAGTTCTAACTTATCTAATATCTTTTGAAGGCGAGTTGCCTTTGTTTCTTTAACCTCACTATCATCATCTACATCACTCATCTTGCTATATAAAAGTTTTAGGTTAAAGCTTTTTCAAAAGTTTTTTAAGAGTTTGCATTTAAAACCTATATAAAGACTTGAGTTTTATTTGAGCGAGACATAGCGGTTTATACTATCTAAGCACCTCCTACATAATTTATTGTATTCTTTGTTCTTACTATAACTCTTGAACAGTTCTATATTTTTACATATCTTACAATCCGGACAATATCTTATATCATTTATTCCGTAATTACAACCATTATCATCAGTAGCAAAGAATGACACCACAATTTTATCAACATAATTACACATTTTACTTATAATCTAACATAGATTATAAGTAAAAAAAGCATTCTTCCAAACTAATTACACACTTGCTTATGAAGTGCTATTGAATGTATCGCAATACTTACCCCTTTCTCGCGTCCATTCAATAAATGGGGGGACGCATCGGCAGATGCCTCGCGTGGCATTCGCGACACTGATTTTTCTGAACACGGGTCTGTTGGGATTTTTAGCTAAAAATCCCAAGAGTTAAAAGCCTGCTGGTTTTTATCTGTCTGGGCGTCTATACACTGTTGGGGTTTTTAGCTAAAAATCCCAAGAGTTAAAAACCTGCTGGTTGTTTATCTGTCAATATATAGTAGATTATAACTCTTAAATATTAATCCAACATATTAAAGTTATTTTTTAACTTATTAACATCTTTATCAATCCTTCCAACATCTTCTTCAATTTTATCAAGGCGTTCTTGGCACTCTTCGGGTGTGATTTTCCTGTTTTCACTCCATCCTGTGCTACAAAGTTCAACACCTCCCATTTGTGGGGTGGTTTCTGTTTTAAATATTCCATCATCAGGCGATACATTCCTGCCTTTACCAAACTTAATACTGCTCCTATCTTCAACAACATTAACAACTACTTTGTTATTTTCAGCAGTTGTTACACTTTCTTTATGATATGCATTTCGCTTACATCTACAAAATACACAGTTAATACCATCTTTATTTACCTGTATTCCTCCATCTTTGTTTTCACTCGTTTAATTTAATTAGATTTTAATTTAATAACCATAATTAAAGATTTTATCATCTCTAGCAAGTTATAACAACACCTGCGATATTTAGGTGGCGTTATGATTTCCTCTATCTTCTCTATCTCATCTATAACTTCTAAATGCTCATGATAATCGTTCATATATTAATAACGATATAATTTTTCTATGTATTAATAATAATGTCAGAAAATATACCCATTGTAAAACCCATTAATGTTAAAGAATACGATTTTAAACAATCTACATACGAAGTAGCACCTAAACTACCATTCTCAATGATTATAACTGGACCGTCAGGAAGTGGTAAAGGCATTCTACTACAGTCGCTTATTTTAGACATTTACAGAGACGTTTTCGCAAGAGTTTATGTGTGGTCGCCCTCAGTTTCAATTGACCCTAACTGGACACCCGTTAAAAAATACATTCAAGACGAGTTGAAGGTTGATTTAGAAAACGAGAAGTGCTTATTTGATGAGTATATACCGGAAGAATTAGACAAGGTAATAAATAGACAACATAAAATAACTGAATACCAAAAGAAGAACGGACACAAGCAATTGCATTCAATATTAATAATTGTAGATGACTTCGCAGACGCTAAGGAATTCTCAAGAAATTCACCTTTATTAAATCAACGTTATGTAAGGGGTAGACACAAAGCGATTTGCATTATAACAGCAACACAAAAGTTTAATGCTTTAAGTCCTATCATCCGTGTAAATAGTCGTCAGTTATTCTTTTTCAGGTTAAGAAACTACAAAGAGATAGAGACAATGGTTGAAGAATTAAGCGCGGTATTGATTAAAAAGTCGTCCGTGGCAGACGCTAAGAACCTCGCAGAAGCAAAGAAACTAATGCTAGAAGTGTATAATTTAGCAACGGAAGAACCATATAGTTTTTTGTTTATAAATCTAATGAAAGGTGATGTAAATGATATGTTTTATAAAAGGTTTGATGCTAAACTAGTTATTGATTGATGATATTATTTTGATATAGTATCATTCTTCAAAACAGACTAAACGAACATAAATTACACGGCATACACTTGCCAGAATTGCTACATTTGTTTTTGCTCTTTAACTTTTCTATCTCATCCTCTAACTTTCCTAACTTCTCTGTTAAATCTTGGATGGTGTTAAATATAATTAACTCCGACTTAATCTTTTGCAGTTGCTCGTCTAATTTCTTTTCAATTGCTTCATCCATCGTGGGCATTATATATTAATTTAGAATTTAATTCTTACTTTTTGCTTTTGGTTTTGCCTTCGGTTTCAGGCTTTCCTCACCTTTCAATTTCTTAACTTCCTTCTTTAAATCTTCAACTTCTTTCATTAACTCTTGAACACAACCCCACAATATAACTGCTGTTTTGTTATATGCTAATAGTTTCATACCATCATCATTATAATATATGACGTTGTCCCATTCAGGAGGCATTTTAGCATCCTTTATATCGTCTGCTATAAAACCAATATTACTCTTTTTACTTTCATCATTAACAAAATTATATGTCTTCGGTTTAATATATTTGACTGCTTTATAACACTCTTTTGTATTTACCTCCTTGACGTTCTCTTTCAATTTAGCGTCTGATGTTTCAGTTAAAGCTACACACGTTAAATTTCCGTTAATGTCTGCATTACCTGTTGTCGTTAAAACGCCATAAACATCAACTCCCGTATTTGTTGCGTCTAATCTTGACAAATTGTTATTACTTAATCTAATCCATCCATCATTATCTGGGTTATTAATAATTACTTTTTGCTTCCCTGCGTCGTCAGTGTGTGTTATTTCCAAATTTCCTAATATATTTACTTTTGCTTCTGTTGTTTGAATTTCTGGTGTGCTTCCTATCGTTCCTATGATAAACTTAATTGCTCTGTCTGTGTCTCCATTTCTTATATCTAAATCATAATCACTACCGTTTAATGTTTCTTTTATTGCTGATGAATGTTGAAAATAAACACCTCCCCATACATCCAAGTCTGCCTCTGCTGTTATTTTACCTATGCTTTTAAAAGTAAGATTGTTAATGACTGGACGAATTAGTGTAATTCCGTTAGTGTCGTTTAATTGTAAAGCGATAGTCCCTGTTGTTGGGTCAGTCGCTCTATTTGATTGTAATGAAAAATTAATTTCTTCTGCTGATATTACATTTAATGAAATTATTGACATCTGCTCGTACTATTTATTAATATATCGACATTTAATGTAGATGAGCCATTGACTTGAAAATTACTTCCGAATAAAACATTTCCACCCGCTACATTTAGTTTATATGTTCCTGCATTCGCTCCAATACCTAATGCATTCATTCTACACGGTAAATTATTTGTCATATTTAAGAATAAAAATCCTCCTGTTCCATTAGAATTATATCCATCAATATATGTTCCTCTAAATCTTAACTCTCCACTATCATCAGCAACTGTCATAACATTACCTATTGTTGATGCTTTGTACAAAGTTAGTCCATTTGTTAAATCATTAACATTTGCTGTTGTTCCATTAAAATTTAAATTTCCTGTTAAATTTAAATCAGTTGTTAAATTAATATCTCCTACTACTTCTAAATCTGTTGCCATTCTAGCTTGATTAAAATTAGATAATCCACCAACATTAAAAAAATAACTATTATTATATTGAAGTCCTATTCCAACTTGCGCCATTGTTTGACTTCCTATTCTTAAACGATAATCTCCTCCTGTATCGTGTAATATCATTTCTGTCCCATTTGCTGGATTTGCTGGGTTCATGCATCTTAAATGTCTGTTTCTAAACTCCCATACTCCTTGTGTGTCTCTAATTCTTAAATTGTAATTAGCATCTCCACTATTTCTAATAATATCTGCTCCTGTATTAGGGACTGTAATGTCTCCTATTGTTAAATTTTGTATTTTAACGCTT